AGTACACCCACTGCACACCCTGACTGATCTATAGTACACCCACTGCACACCCTGACTGATCTATAGTATACCCACTACACACCCTGCCTGATCTATAGTACACCCACTGCACACCCTGACTGTTTTATATTACATTAGCTGTATTACACATAAACTGTATTAGGCATTATTTTTGTCCTTATATATTTTCAGACTTACCACTCTTGGATATGGAACCCTACCAAACGAGAATAATTCCCAAAGAAATATGCCATAACTCCATACATCAGATTTAGTAGAAAAATTCTAGAAAAAACAAATGAATTACGTTGCTTTACTTTATACCATCATTATATGTTACCATTACATTCTTTCTCATGAAAAAAGTCTGCATTTAGTGAGATAAACATTAATACTAGCTTGGAAAGTAGGATGTCATAGATCAATAAGCTCACTTGTTCTTTTAAGGCTTCAGGAGCAGTCCACTTAATAGGAAACTTTCCTCCCTCTTGATTAAAGTTGGCTTCCCTTGCAAGACCAAAATCTGAAAGCTAAATAAGCAATTGCATTATTTGCTATAATAGAATCTAAATCTACACAATATCAGACATTTGAGTTCATTGTATCACACAAAAATTCATCACAGCAAAGAAAAGCTGAAGCATTAACATGCTTATTATCCCGGGGGGGTACTACCACCCCAACTTTGGTAGGGGTGTGCCGCCAGGACCTCAAACCCTACCCCAGACTAAAACTAAGAATTGTACACCCTATCCCAGACTAAAAGACGGAAAATACGGTTTACAATCGATTGCAACCAATATTTACTAACATTTTTATTGTTTTTGTGTTGGCAGAAAGCGTAGCCTATTAGCCAGACAAAAATGACCAAATCGTTAACCCTATCCCAGACAAAATGTCAAAAAATGATACCCTACCCCAGACCCAAAGGCCGAAAAACCATACCCTATAGGGTGGCACATACCTGTATAGCAAATATAGGGGAGTACCCACCCCCCCCCCCCCCCCCCCTCTGGGCTTATTACAAACTGTGATTTTACTGATAGGTTTTCATACTTTTGCTGAAGCATTGTCATCAATGAGTACATTCCTGGCAGCTACATCCCTGCAAAATAGTTGTTATCAATAAATTATCTGAAAAAATTTAGCAATAAATAGGCTGTGGAATGTCCTATTCAATAAACAATCACTCAAAAGGTCAAGTCAACATTATTAGTGCTCCCTTTTTACCCTTCCACAATTTCTACTGGTTTGTCTGTCATGTTTCTCTGTGTTTGGATTTGTTTTTTTGTTTGGTCAGAAAATGCCAAAATTGTGCAATTAGTATTCAAGGGTCTTCTCTGCAATAACCAAGAGTCCAATGTGCACATATGCTACAGGGTTCCCATGTAATTGATCCCCAACTCATTATGTATACCTAAAGTTTATCACATAACAATACTGCCATCAACAAGGTCATATTCACGAAGCTGAGTAAGAAATACTAACAAAGGTCTGTGACTAAAGATTGGACAGCTGCTTGGAATGTCAGTAAATTAAACCAAAAGACTGACACAGCCAAAGATGAGTTCAACAGCATCATCCATAAATGGTTCACCCTGGCAGTCTTAGTCAACATTAAAGAAAAATATAAGCTATATTGTCAAATTAGTTTAAAAGTTTGTCAACAGAATGTAAGTTCACCCTTTTTATGGTAAAACCACTCAAACAACATACATTGTAAACATGGAAAGCTGTCAAAATAAGCCATATTTACTGAAGAACTAAATTAATTGTTCCTTTTTTTTCAAGCATTATGACCAAGTATTTAGTTAGCATTTCAAATTTATGTTGAAAATTAAAAAATTAATATAAAATGTTGTTGGGCTGGAATAGTCTTCATGTCAAATGAAATTCTATTCCAGTTGTGCACAAATGTGTAATTTTGATTTGATCATATCAGATATTTTTAATTTTTACTCTAAAGAAGGAACAAAGAAAAAAAAGGGGGTTCCCATACTTTGTTTTAGAGCTAGAAAAGATTATTATAAAAGATTAAGTTTTCATAATACTTTGCCGATCAAAATATTGGAATGACATCACCACAATAAGTACATGTGCACAAAACTCATGTGTAGAAAGGATGTCCATGAACGTCCTTAAGGATGTACCTGTGAACTAAGTTTTTGGATTCCAAATATTCCAGTCCTGCAGCAACATCCCTAAGAAAGAGAACCAAGAGTATTATCCTTCAATGGCTTTGAATCGATTTATCACAAAAAGGAAAACACCCAAAAAAAGTATACATTTTTATTACATAATAATAGAGCTCAATTATTTAGATCGTAATATTGAGTATCATATTGATAGTTATTGTTATTAATATAAGGGTGTGTTAGATAAAAAGAATTAATTATTTGTAGGGGATAACAATAAATAAATTAGTATACTTAACAACCAGTCTGTATGGTGTATGAGACAATTGGGGCTATTGATTTGTACATCATGAGGGTGAGGTGTTTAATTTTTTTAGTATAAACCCACTAATAGCTGAAGCTAAAATTGGGAATCTCAGCAACAAGCCCACATATTGACTTGTATTCTCTGTAACTCTTTCTTAAAAAATTATATTTTTGTTCAAGAATATTGGATAGTACATAATATGTGAAATTTGAATAGAGATCTGAACCATATTCTGATTCACCAACAATAAGTGTGATTGCCAGACATTTACAATATCAATAAATTCATCACAGTTATCTATATTAAACAACAGCTACCTGCCAAATCCAACAAGATCTTTTTGTCCAATGACTGTTCTTCCTCTTGACCGTAAGTAATCTATAAGACTTCCCTATAATAATAGGAAATTGATTTCAACATGTAGTAACTACATATATACTATGTTGTAAACTTTATTTAATGTCAGATTTAATGACAAGATGGCAGGAAGTGTAATGTGTTTGTCAGATTTTGACAATACAATACAATACAATACAATTTTATTTGCTCATACAAGAAAATTTACATGAAATGTGAAAAACAACTATAGAAAACAACTAWGAAAATAAAGAATAGATAAYTGTCAAAAGAACATAATTCAGAGCCTGGGGTCTAAATTAACCATAAGGTTTTCGAGTTAGACCCCAGCAATTTAAAATTTAACATTGGAGTAAACTGAAGAAGAACCAAGTACATAAANGAGTAAACTGAAGAAGAACCAAGTACATAAAAAATAATTACAATTTAACTGAACAATAAAACTGTTAATCCACAATTAGAGTAATGACATGTATGACAACACCCAAATAGCCAATTCAACACAATAACACCTATGATTTGGGCCTTAAGGTGGCTTGCCTACTATAGAAAAAAGAAGCAATAAAAATGATGCCATTATTTGAGCCCACATTGTGCAAGCTCACTAAAACTGCTTAAAACCACTAATGAACTTCAAAATTTAATTGAGGAACCATACACATTTTGAACTTCAACACATGGGGGCAAAACTCTCAAATTTTGCACAGGAATTTTTTTTTTTTGATTTCCCGAAACAAGAGGGGAAAAGCAATTTTGTTTTAAAGCTTGAAAAATATATGTATTTATCATACCTTTCCACAATACTCTGTCACAATGTAAACAGGTGAACCATCTAATGACACCCCCAACAGTTGCACAAGATTAGGGTGATGCAAACTCCTATCAATATTAAAACAGTAAGAGTTATTAAAGTGGCATAACCTATAATTAAAAAATAAGGAAGAAAGAAAGGAAGGTATGGAAGGAGAGGGAGTCGAAGGAGGGATGAGATGGAGAAACGGATTCATGGATGGATTCATAGATAAATAAATAAAAAGGATTGAGCAGTGGCATTACTGTACTGCATTACTTCATTACTATTATACACTGAGTTTTCAAGATGGATTTAAATAAACAAACAAACAATTAGCTGAATAAATGGAGGGATAGAGGGAGGGAGGGAAGGAGAGATGAAGGGATAGATAAATGAATGAATGGAGGAATGGAGTCGAGGGAGGGATGAATGGATAAATTGATTAATCTACTGAATTTCCAGTTGGAATTTTATATTTTGCAGAGGAAGGGAAATTGAAGAACATAGAGAAAAATCCTTTAGCCCGACAGGATTCAAACCCAAGTTGCATTGGTGAGAGGCAAGCACTTTCATGGCTATGCCACCATGCTTCCCATTCCATATAATTTTCAAGTTTTTACAATTTTGAAACATAGTCAAATCATGCTGGAGAGTCTAACAGAAATGTATTTTTTACTGAGTGTCTGCAATGGCTTAGTATTTGCACAGTTAAATGCAGTTTTTCTTACGTCATCACAGATGCTTCTGCCAAGAATTGTTGGGCAGCTCTGTCATCATCTTTTAAACTTTTAATTGCCACTTTTTTTCCTTTGTATTCCCCTAAAAGAACATCTAGAACCGATAATACGAGTTAGTTAGCAAAACATAATGTTAAGAACCATATGGTTTTCACATTTCTGGTATGGTCCTTCCTCTGTTTTGCTATCTAATATAGTATTGCTGTCACTAATTAAGGACAGTGCCTACTAATTGAAAATCAATTATTTTTTTAAATGACTATGTGAATTTTTTAAGAATTATTCTTGTCAATAATACTTAAACCTAGCAAATTATCTCTTTAACAAGCTTGAAAATAAACACTTCTTTTCGTGCAATTCAAGTAATAAATTTTGACATCTCTCAAATGTAGATGCGCAGTATGTGTGTGCGTGGACAATAGTAAGCACCATCCTTAAGCACAATATTATGGAAAGGTAGACTTTTTAAAACAAAATAAATTGAAATAAAAAACAATCCAATAACATCAGTGGCTTTTTGATAAAGTGACCACGGTAAATCCGTGAAACACTAATATTACTAAATAGTACAAAATAGTGCTAATTAGACAATAGAAAACAACAGAATTTGCATGAAGTTGTGCTATTTAGTTACTAAAGTTTCATGGATTTACTGTGGTAACTCTATCAAAGGGGAGGATTAATCTTCTCCAATATATGAGGACTTTTTCATTTTGACTTTTCCTTGTTGATTTATACATCAATCTAAAATAACGTTATCACAGATTTTATTCATCTTCACATTTAACATCATGACCATGTCTGTAATGAAAGAAGCTTTTTAGTTACCTCCAAATTCACCCTTGCCGATTGATTCCATTAGTGTAAGGTCTTTCCTGTTTATTGCCCAACCCTCTGCAAAATTAATCAATGTTTTCAGTTAAATAATTATCATTGCATGTAGTAAATACAAATTGAAGTGCACCTCTTGGCCAACTATTAGCCAATCATTGGTTGACACTTCACCAACACACATCTAGAGTTGAAGTAGACTTTTTTTAAATACACCAGTCTTGTACTCTCATCTTAACTTCAAAACATACACTGCCAGACATACAAACATCTTTAAATTTGTCAATTTGCTACCAAAGTTTTCACAGCCAATAGGTTGGTATCAATAGATGTCGCTTCCGCTCCGGTAATAGCTGCATTTTTAATGGCTTGTAGAATCTAGAAGGTCGTTTTGATCTCTCGTTTTCTGGTTTCATGTCATAGAAATAGTCAAATACAATAGCTTGAGGACTTATTTTGACTTAAAAACATCCACTAGTTGCCCCTCATTCAACCGCTTGTTTACCCACAGTCAACTCCAAAAAGTCATGTGATTGATAGTAAGCACCATACTACCTGACAAATGTTTGTACCATTACTAATTAAAAGTAAAGTTATACTTATGAGTGCTGGTATTGTTTTTTTACTCAGTTTTAATTTTAACTCATTCAAATGTGCAGCTGCCATTTTGGCCAAGGGTCTATTGTTCAATGCAAGTTTGTACTGTGCTAAAATTAGAGAAATACCACTCACCTTTTTCAAATGATTCTGAATCAACAGAGAAATCAAAACAGCCCTTTTTTTCCAAAGGTTGTGTGAGCCTTGTGCATAAGCCATCTGCATCATTTTGGTAGTGCTACACAAAACAAGAAAACAAAATATGAATACCACCTGGGAGTAAACCACATCATTTTATTTCATTACAACAGAAACTTTCAGTTACAATCATTGCTAGAAAGAGGCCTACCACTCCATGGTGGACAGAAAGCCTAACAGATTTTGCCACCCACTTGATAAGGCTAACAATAAATCAAATGAGAATTTAAAAGTTGATTTTTTTGAAGGGAGGAAAAACATACAGGTCATGAAGATTAACTAATTAATTGATTTAAATGGTATACAATGTCTGTCAAGGCTCCTTCAATTATAAGATAACTGAAAGAATGGTTACTGGAATTTGCCTACTTTGTCCTGGGTAAAATTGGATTAAGGTCACCAGGAATCCGATAGTGGGGGGGGGGAAGGGGGGAATGAGAAAATGGATTTGGACGCTGGGAAGTGGGATTTGTAATTATATATGTTTTGGCACCCCCCTTTAGGACACTGATAATTCATATCAAATTAAAGTTCATTGTTTCACACTACATTCACATGTATTGTGTCAGTGGTTTGTTGTTGTAATCATGCAAACACATTGACACTTGATGGTTCTTGTTCAAAAATGTTTAGACCAGTCATTCACATAAAACAGTGAACTAAAACAGTGAACCTTAAATACATGAAGAAATCATTGCAGTGATAATGATTTTGACATGTCTTGCAGACTTTGCTTTTCATAATCAAACATAAATATCAAGTGAAGTGAACTAAACAAAATATGCTCTTCATTGATGATATTCTCTATAAAACAGTGGTGTTTATTCGGCTCCATTGTCTAATGCATCAAATTTGCAAGTGTGATGTTTATGGAACTTTGTGCTGAGCTGAAATCACACTGATTTGTCTCTGCTTGCCTCCTTGCCCTGCTAATTTTTTTAAAATAACCCCCACCTCCTTCCCCCCTGGTTGTTCTTCTAAAAAAATCAAGATTTCTCCTTAAAATATTACGTCTAGACCCAGCACACCAACTCACCTCTACTAGCTTTGTTAAATTTTCAAAGTATTCTTCTTCATCCACTGTTAATTTATTGTCTTTAAAGATAACTCTATAGTGCTCTATTTTTCCACCAAAACTGAAATGACAATTGCATGGAGTTATACTGACATTAGTATATGTAATAGGACTCCATGCTGTCCAATTAAGAAATAATTGGATGAGGAAAATTCCAAGGACTGACGAATTGGATGAGGCCGTAGGCCGAGTCCAATTTGGCAGTCAGAGGAATTTTTCGAGTCTAATTATTTCTTGATTGGGGAGCATGAAATCCCATTACCTATTAATTATATAGCTGCCTAATTAATCCCATATCAACAAGACCTGTCTAATTAAGAAAATAATTGGACAGTTACCTATATGGGATTAATGAGAAGCTGTATAATTAGTAATATTATAGTGAAATCCAAAAGACTGAGTTCCAGATGGGAATTTAATTTCCACACAACCTTCTACACACAGTTTTCTAGTTGGATGCAAGTGGGCCAATGTCACCTGTGGGCCTGGGGGGGTTCCTGAGTTGATAATTGAATGAGGAACTCAGTGCAATTAATTATATCTTTTGTCATAAACCGGGTCTACAAATTTGATTTTTTTGTCATCAACAGGGTACCCCTTTCAGAATCCCAGCAGAACACCCTACCCAAATCCTGGCAGAGTACCCCCCTCCCTGGACCTGTGGGCTATTGTGATCAACCTGAGCTGCACCATATATCATACAATGTAATGTCAGTAAGTGGTAGAACCTCATACTTCTATTTTGCAGCAAGAAAACTGCAGACATGAGTGAATTGATGTGAACAATAAAATGACAGCTTCATCAATGTGTTGATGGTTTTGATCCATTGTTAACAAATAAACTTCATCTTTGGAAATGCCAATTAAGATCAAAATGAAGGAAAAGGAATGGGAAGATTGACAATAAATTTCAAAAACTTTAATGTCATCTGAAAAATTCATTAGGTTTTAAAGCATAAAGACACATTAATGAGCATAATCGCATAAGATATGACTGCATTCATGAGGACTCTACTAATCGGATTCTTTCAATATTATTGTGGGCTATTGCAATTTGAACAAAAACATTAAATTCATTGTATTCCACACACCAATGCAGTCCCTTCTAGTAAACACAATTCAAATAGGCATTACTTGACGTACCAGACTGACAGAGTATAATCACCCTTATAATTGCAGCTCTCTCTCACAAGAAAAAGACCATCTCTTCTTGCTTTTAAAAGTTCTTCTGCTTTTTCTCTGTCTATTCGGCCATGAAACCACCTAACATATAAAACAGACATAGCAGTAATTATATTTTAAATTCACACACATTCACTAATCTAAGTAAATCTTATGGGTAGAATAGCCTTGAGATGGGTAACTCCTGGCTAGTTTACTGTGGGGAGGTGAGTGGAAAACAATAGAGACCTTTAGCATTAGGTTTACTGCTAACCGCAAGGGATCAGGTCCAGAAACACACCCCAAACACAAAGAAACACTCAGCATAATAAACAGTAGTGGCTCTTTTAGCAACGACTTTGTTATGATGCCTTGCAAAATGTTGAAAGTTTGACAGTAAATGTCTTAGGTGGAACTGCATATTAAGGTTTATGGCAACTAGCAAGAACATTGTGCAAAAACAGCAGGCAAGAGGCTCTGGTCTGAAATTCACCTTTTTGCATGAAACTACCTGATAAGGTGATATTATATTGTACATAGATCCTATAGGCTTTTTGGGATTGCCTCAATGGTTGCCTGTGCAGAGTCCCTAGTGAAAATGCTTTAAAAGTCTCACATACATGTTGATTTAAAACTGCATCTTACTGTAGAAAGGTATCAAACACACACACTTACGGCATAGCATGGAGTTTCACAGCACCTCTTTCCAAAACATGAACATAGTTTACAGGTATCAAACCCATATCACCTTTACCATTTTTTGCTCTGTACCAGTTGCAATCCTGTCATATAAACAGTTACAAAAAGTATTTGTTTTTAATAAGTAGTGGTTTGATTAAGGTAATTCCCCAAACAGGGGAAAGGAAAGTCACAATCCAACACATCGTGGCCGCCATAATGTTTCAGCGGGTTTCACCTAACAAAGTAACATTGGGTTCATAGCAGGAAACACCACAAAGTTTGATTGAAACTTTGGTCAAACCAGACTGGCTTCATGCCAGGTCAAGCTTTGTCCCTGATCTGACAGTCTTAAAGAGAAAAAATCTTTTTTCAGCCTTTAACCATTTTAATCAAGTTTTTTTTCGGAAATTTGAGGTGGAAAAGTGTGCTTGATAGTGTTGGGTGTCTAAGAAATTGGCGCAGAGAGTTGCATATCTCTAAGATACTGTAAAGCTCTACATCTTTTTACAATAGAATAATAGGTTACAAAGAATGGCAAAAGAAAGAAAATATTTTACTGTAATTTGGTTGATTTTGTTATTGTTGTTGTTGTTTGTTTGTTTGAATTATTTAGCACACTGTCCCATTTATTCCATAAATGATATACATGTATTTCCCGATTTTTTTTAATACACCACTTTAACAAATTGGGATGTCTGTCAGATACCCAAGTTCAAAGGAATTCTTACATTATTTTCTTTTTTACAAATTCAGTTTCTTTGAACTTTAAGAGAAAAATATTTCATAATAATAGCAACTGGAGGTAATAACTGTATTAAAAAGAATTACTGACAATGGACCTAAAAGACTTTTCCTTACTCAAGGGAATTAATTAAATCTAAAATAGGTTACAAAACACAGTAAAAAGTTGACATACCCTTGTTCCCCTGGTGATAGTAAGAATTTCTCCTTTTTTGAAAGGTAAATCCTGTAAATAACAAATTGCTACATATTGGTACATATTTCAGAGTTGATTTTTGGGGAGGGAGAAAAACCAGAGAACCCAGGAAAAAATTCGAGACAAACGTACATGTTACTTTAAAATTCTTAATATGCATAAGGCATATTTTCCCATATATAAGAGGAATTACAGTCAACAAACCAACCAACCAACTTGCCAGTTGGACATCAAAAAATGGTCTACATCAAGGATATGACTACAAGACTGTTGTTGCAAAGATTCAAATGAATTTTGAGTTTTAGATCCGCAACCATGCTTTACATGAAATACTTACAATGTCTATATTAAACTTCACCTAGATTGAAAAGACCTGTTACCCAACAACTTATGTTGGTCATATATTGCCCTGACAAACAATTTAAATTGTAGCCATCCATGATTAGACATGAGTTCCCAGGTTGAGCATCTTGATAAGATCATGGAAGATCTTGCAAGATCATGGAAGATCTGGCAAGATCTTGTGTTAAGTTATTCAAGATCTTAGGTATTCAAGATCTTGGCAAGATCTTGTTAAGATCTTGTCAAGATCCTGATAAGTTCTTGGTATTTCTTAACAGAGGTTTTAAAATCATAAACTCATAAAATCTTGCCAAGATCATGTGATGATCTTAACAAGATCTTAATAAGATCTTTGTCAAGATCTTAGTATGATCTTATCAAGATCTTTCCAAGATCTTGTAATTATCTTTGCAAGATCTTGTACCATAGTTTAAAAGATCTTATCAAATTCTTGTCAAGATCTTTCCAAGATCTTGTAATTATCTTTGCAA